GAGATGCACATGAACAATTGTCCCTATTTGTATTTGACCCAGATCTGCTCCCAGCATGCTTTAAGACTGAAGCTGAGGTTTAAACTCAGGCAATTGAGAGCCATTTAAAAAATGAGATGACTTGAAACAAAGAATAGGAAAATATTTATATACTTTTTAAAAAAGATTTTATTTAGTTATTTTTAGAGAAAGGGAGGGAGAAAGAGAGGAAAAGGGACATCAATGTGTGGTTGCCTCTCACACACGTCCCCAACTAGGAAGGTGACCCATAACCCAGGCATGTGCCCTGACTAGGAATCGAACCAGTGACCCTTTGGTTCACAGGCCGGCACTCAATCTATTGAGCCACACCAGCCGGGGGCATATTTCTGCACTTTTTAAACCAGCCCTTGTGAATAGATTCTTGACTATGTACTGAGCCTGGTTCCTAACGCTTGTTCTTCTCTAGAGTTGCCATCCTGGGAAGCCAACCGGTATCTGTCTCACATCTTTGAAGCGTGAGCATATGTGCTCTTGAGAAAAGTCACAGGGACAAAATGTGTCCTGAACTTGGTTGGTGTACGTTTCTAAATCATCTTGGAGTCATGTTTAGCTGGATGGTGATTCTTCCTTTGACAAGTCCTGCTGTGGCAGAAAAGGGCGAGATCCTGCCTGAAAGTTATTAGCCAGGGACACAGCATTCCAGGATATGACAAAGATCTTTCTAGAACCACAGGTGGCAGTGTCCCCAGACTGGCACATTGTGCTTAGAACTGTGTGACATTTGGCTTAGGCAGCTTTGCCAAGCTGACATGGAGGGCCGGGCAGTCCTGGGCAGCCCAGGAGGTGGGTTGCAGTGGCGAGGATATGAGAGAGACCACGGCCAGGACCTCCCCCCTCTCTGCTCTCCACTCCGCCCCTGCCTTAAGGCTGCCATGTGCCCTGGGGTGAACTGGTCCCCACCTCTTGGTCTCTTGTTGCTTCTCTATCAAATGAGGTGGTGAATGTCAGGGTTTAAAGGCTCTTTCAGCTCCGTCCCTTCCCCTTTTTTTTGTTCACGAAGGTATAATTTATATAGAGGAAAACGCACAAACCTTAGGTATATAAATTGATAAATTTTGAATTTTAGAGTTTTGAATTTTTGTACATACCTATGAATCCGCCACCCAGATCAAGCCCTGGAACCCAGATTTCCAGCCCCCGGAAGGCTCCCCTGCCCCGCTCAGATCAGCTCCGGTGTTTCATGATTAATGATTTTCCGTGACTGAGCACAGACTCTCTCCCGTTCCATCTAGACCTGACTGTCACTGGCTACCTGTGGCTTCTGAGCACTCGGGGTTTGGCTTGTCGTACTGCTGTGTGACACATGCGTACAATAAACAGTGGCATTGTAAGAGTGTGGAGGGAAGAATGTAGGAGAGCTTGTTGATGGTTTTGTACATTGGCCACATTAAAATAGCAATATTGTGAATATATAGAGTTAGGTAAAGTATTATTACACTCAATGTCACCTGTTTATCTTTTGCTTTTCTCAAAGGGGCTACTAGAAAATTTGAAATTCCCTCTGCGTTAGTGTTGTCCTGGGATCGGACAGTCTCCTTCCTAGTAAGGAATTGTCTCTTGCGTATTGTCTGCTGCCTCTGCCCCATAGCCATTTAGTGGCACCCCGAGAGTGTCAGGGACAGTGACTGACCGTGTGGCGATGTGAACATGGCGGGGAGGCGGCCATGCTTTGCAGATGTGCTCTTGTGGTTCTCAACGTGGCTGAGTCTTTGCAGACTTCCTCAGACCTCAGGCCTTGCCCCCAGGTTGGGGTCTGGCTGCCCACAGAGCCCTGTTGGCTCATTTCTGCCTCTTATTTATTTTAAATTTTTTTCAAATCCTCACCCAAGGACATGCTTATTGATTTTAGAGAGAGGAGAAGGGAGAAAGGGAGAGAAAGAAACATCAATTGGTTGTCTCTATATGTGCCCGGACTGGGGATTGAACCCACAATCTAGGCATGTGCCCTGGACAAGGATCGAACCTACATCCTTTTGGTGTACAGGACGATGCTCCAACCAACTGAGCCACCTGGCCAGGGCTCTGCCTCTTTTTAAAAACACAATGAAGTCCATGCCTGGGGGTGCTGGTCTCTCCCTTGCCAAGCCCAGGGCCCACTTTGCTGGCGGTGGAGAAATGTGAAGGTCTTTTTGAGTTGGGTTGTAGGTTGACTCAGACCTTTTGGGGACTTTTTGAAGAGTCCACATCCTGAGGGAAAGAATCAACTCACTTTTGAAGCCTCTGAGGGTGCGCGAGCATCCTGGGTGCGGGGAGGCCTGTGAGGGCTGCTGGGACCGCCTCTGGTGGCCACCCCCTCCCATCTGCCCTTTGGGTGCTGGTCCCTGTGGTGGGGGTGGAGGAAATTGCTTTTCTATGTGCTTTGTTTGGTAGAATAACTTTTTGTTGATCTCCTGGTTTTAAACATGTCGCTGGTATGTAGCATAGGGTTTAGGGTTGCTTTTTCTGGAGTTTGAGACCGTCTTTTTTAAAAAAGTACTTTTGTTCACTTACGTTTACTGTTTATTGTTTTCATTAGATTCTGTTATCCTGTTTTGTTCCTAATTTTGGCCATAATTTGATTTCCCGTATAGTTCAGGTTGATGTGCTCACTGTAGGCTTCTTAGCCCTTATCAAACTTACTTCTTAATCTAAGTCTTCTAATGGCTAACCGATACAAACAAGAATGTCCTTATTGCTTTACGTTGCCATATATAGCTATCACAAGCCGCGAGACCTTGGACTTCCTTCTACAGGCACCTTGAGCTGTCAGCTTTTTTCTCCCGAGTCTGCCCTCTGCCCTTCCTCGTGCTGCTGGGGCTCTGGGTTGAGAAATGCATTCATTCTCGGTTCTCCTTTCTGGCTCCTACATCCAGCTCGTGTTCACTGTTCACTCGTACTGGGGACATGCACAGACCCTAGGCAGCACAGCAGGGAATAAAAAGGCTGTTTAGTCACCCTGGGCGAGTTACACAACCTCTCCGAGCCCAGCTTGTCAGTCTTATCATAAATAAAAAGCTAATATACTGAGGGAGGATTAAGTGGGGAAAATGTGTGAGGTAGTGCCTGGTCCATACTAGTTGCTTGATAAATAGTAACCTCCCCCTCCCTGTTCATGTTCTTAGTGGCTTGACCTGGTAAACAGTTTGTCTTGATACTGTAAAACTTGACCTTGAGTGCTCTCCTGCTTTCATCATTCTACGTGGAGGTATGGTGACTTATGTTGGTAATCATGTGTTGTTGTTTTTTAATTGAAGTAAAACTCACATAGCATAAAATTAACCATTTTAAAATACACAGTTCAGTGGCATTTAGTACATTCACAATGTTGTGCAACCACCACCTCTGTCTGGTCCCAAATATTTTCATCATCCCCCAAAAACCTCAGACGCATTAGTAGTCACTCCCTATTTCCCTTCCAGCCCCTGGCAGCCACTTATCTAGTCAATACTTTGTCTCTATGGGCTTACCTTTTACAGACATTTTATATAAACGGAATTTTGCACTATGTGCTCTTTCATGTGTGGCTTCTTTCATTTAGCATAATGGTTTTGAAGCTCATCTATGCTGTAGGATGAATCAGCACTTCATTTCTTTTTATGGCTGAATAATATTCCATTGTGTGGATAGATCATATTTTGCTTATCCATTCATCTGTGGATGGACATTTGAATTGTTTCCACTTTTTGGCTGTTACGAATAATGCTGCTGGGAATATCTGTGTGTGTGCGTGCAGATGTGTGCTTTCGTTTCTCTTGGGTAGATCTCTAGGAGATCTGTTGGGTCTTAGTAGCTTAGTAAAGGGTTTTAAGAATTAAGTTTGCCAATGTGTGGCAGTGTCTGGTACACAGAAGTGCTTAATAAATCGCGGTCATTATTTATGTTATTTCTGTGGAGTTTTTTTATGTGCTTGATTTTCTGACCTTTAGACTTGTTATTTTATATTTTGGTAAAATTTTCTGTATCTGTCACATTCTCAGGTTTTTCTTGTTTATTGAAGTCTTATGATCCACATATTAAAATAACTGTTGATTCCTCATGACTCAGAGTTATCAGAGTGATAAGCCAGATCACTTGCTTCACTCATTTATGCCACAAGTATGTACTGAGTGCCTCATGCGTGCCTGGCCTGCAGAGTTTCATGGTTGAAACTTGTGTACCTGAAGAGGGCACAGTGACTGCATTTAGCTTATCACTAAAACCCCATCACATGGCATGATGTTTGTTAAATGAATGCAAACAAACCCCTGACTGCAGGTAATGGAGTGTGGATGGAGAGCTCCGTAGATAATCTGTGCACTCAGTGCCTGGGTTGCTCATTCAGACCTGGATCTGGAAACCCTGCACCGTCATGACGGGGGGTGGGGGGGGGGGGGCGGGGAGCTGGCTCACACCGGCTCAGGAGAGCCAATCATGGGCATCTTCCCAGCTCCAAGGGCAGTGATGTCATCAACCACCGTAGGAATATTTACAGCATGGAAATGGGCAAAATTTAGAAATCAGCGCTTCTCCCTGCTTTCTCGCTCCCTCATTCTCTCCTCTCTCTTTTTTTCTTTTTCTTTTTCTTTTTTTTTTTTGAGAGCCTGGTGTTAAACATTTACCAGCACAACAGCCTGCCTCTCCAACTTCATCTCCTATTATTCTCCTGATGGTGGTTTTTCACAAATTACGCAACTGAGGCACAGAAAGTTGAAGAAATTAGTCCAAGCTAACATAGTCGGAAAATGATAGAGCCAAAATTCAAACCCACAACTGACCTTGGCCTATCACCGTGGTCTTGGTAGTACCCCCTCCCTTGATTTTTTCTGATCTTTAGTCATGTTTGTTCGTTTTTTTTCCCCTGCCAAACTATTCTGCCACCAGATTTTTATTTTGATCAGTTCTTAGTATTTCAGGTGCTAAGACTTCCTGGTGTGTTGCCTGAGCAATGCTTAGATCTTGTCGCTTCTTACCAGGAACTCTGTTTTATTTTGTTCTTGCAGAATTTCGCTAAAGAGTTTGTGATCAGTGATCGGAAGGAGCTGGAGGAAGATTTCATCAAGAGTGAGCTCAAGAAGGCCGGGGGAGCCAATTATGACGCCCAGACCGAGTAACCCCAGCCCTCCCGCTGTCCCTCGCCAGTCATTGGCCTGCTCTCCGGGGGACGGGACCGCAGCTTCAGCGACCAGCCCACCAGCCCACCAGGGAGAGGAGACACAATGAGAGGCAACAGTCCACCACCCTGTCTGCAACCCAGCTCCCCTTCCCGGCTCTCCTCCTGAGCCCTGTTGTGTCCTGTCTCGCAAAGCTCATGGAACATCTTTCTTTCCCTTCTTTTTCTTTTGTCCCCCTTTTTCTTGTTCTGAAGAAGAATCATTATGATGCTGAGATCAGATCTTGGGGCTTCCTGCGGCGACATCCTCAGATACGAGGCACCACCGCAGTGACCCCTTTTCCTGGCATTTCTCCCAGCCTGCCTGGCCTCCTCCGCCACGACCTCATGTTGCCCCGGAGACCACGCCAGTGCCGCCATCTCAGTTTTCCTCGGCTTGCCCACCCTCCTGGCGCCGAGGAGGCAGCTGAGCCCGGAGCCACGCCATCGACGGCGGCCGTCATAAGCACACGCGTTCACCCCATGTGTCAGGCTCAGACCTCCCAGAATGTGCCCCAGGGTCCCTCACCCACCTCATTCAAAGTTGCCTAAGCTACAGAGATGGTGCTTGGTGGTGAGACGTGTAGGCCTGACTCAGACCGAAGGAGAATAGATAACATTTGCCTTAAAAGTTGCCTGGCGTTCGCTTTCTCGCCCTTTTGACTGAAGTCCCACTATGGCATGGAGTGGGGGGTAAGGTCTGAGTCCAGATTTGACAGAAGGAGTCTTTCAGGGTTAACGTCAGAGGCTCCCAGAGGGATGAGGACGTTAGGGAGAGAGGCCCGGGATGCGGAACAGGAATGTAGGTAGAACTGGGAACCGATCCTTCACTTTCGGGAAGATCCTCTGCCAACAGCAGGGACAGCAGGGCCCGCGGGACCCGCGGAGCCAGAGCGCAGCTGCACCCAGCCTCTGGGGACCAGAACACCTGTGGTCTCAATCCTACGTCTGCACCACACAGTCAAAGGATTTTTTTTTTTTTCCCAAAGAAAGATGAGATTGGCTTGGTTCTTCATGAGCATATTTTATATTGTTCTCTTTCTCTTTTTCCTTGTTCATTTCTTTTTGGGGGGAGGAAATCTGTGCTGTATTGGGGTTGTGAAGAACATCTGCACTCAAACAGTTTACAGAAATAAATTTTTTGTTGTTTTTCAAAAAACGGTTTGTCTGAAAGCATTTTTTTCTTCTTTTTTTTTTTACTATAAAAACAAAGGCCATTGTCATCTTCAGATTTAACAGGCATCTCTGGGGCTGCTGGTGCCTAGGCACATTCCTATTGAGAATCTTACTTTAGTTTTTAACAACCACCTTAAGAAATAGGCACTGTTTGGATCCCCATTTTCTGGAAATGGAGGCTCAGAGAGACTGATTCCCCTGAGGCCACCCAGGTAGAAAGAGGCAGAGCTGGGATTTGAACCTAGGTCTCCTCATGCCCCTGTGCTGGGGCTTCTGAGGGACGTGGGGAGGTCCTGGAATTGAGACAACGGTGTGACAGCAGGATTTGGATATTTCCTGAGTGGCCAGAAGCCTCTCTTGTCTTTTCAGGGAAAGCTGGGCTGTGACATCCTGTCTGAGGTTGTCCTAGAGCTTGAGACCTGGACTTCCAGCCCGCCAGACCCGATGGGACTCAGAATCAGGCCGGAGGAGTTTCAGGCTCAGGCAGCTGGGTTTGGAGGAGCTGAGTGCGGGGTGGGAAGGTGCGGGGAAGGGGCAGAAACCCAAGTCAGAGCGGGAAGGGTCCTGCCAGGTGTGGGCAGGGCCACAAGTAAGTTGCCCTACGACAGCACAGAGTTGAAGGTCGACCCCTGGCCCATGCCAGCCATGCCTGGGTTCTAATACCTGCTCCTCTGCTCTCAGCTGTGTGATTTTAGGCACGTTAACCTCTTTGGGTCTTCGTTTCCTCTTTTGCAAAATCAGCAACAATATTGCCCAATAGGTGGGAAGACCTAAGCAGCAGCACAATCCTGAGGGCGCCCAGTAGGTGCTCAGTTATTACATAATGTCTGCCCCTAGGTCTTAATCCTGTGTGGCCCAGTTTTTCCCACACCCAGAACAGAGGAAGTCAAACTGGGTCTCTGGCTTCCTGGCCTGTGGGCTTTTAGCTCTGGTCAGAGAACTTGGGACAGTTACAGTTGAGGATAAGGTCCCCTTTGAAGAAAAGCCAGGTTCTATGGGAGAAAATGACAAAGGGGCTAGGCCTGGCCAGCGGCATCAAGGAGGGCTTCCTGCAGTAAGTGACACCTCAGAACTGAAGGGGAGGAGGAGTGAAGCAAGCAAAGGGCTGAAGGGACACAAAGGCTCCACGGGGATGTTTGATGAAGGAAAGAGCAAAGAGGGTGGAGCTAGGTTTGTGTGTCCAGGAGCTTGGTTTTAACGATAAGCTACAGCTCAGGGCTTTGCTGAGAATTTAGAGGGGGTTTGATGCGATCATGAGGTCTTCAAGGGCAGAGAGACCTTGCCTTCACCGTCTGTCCAACCCCTGTAACCAGCACCTGCTAGCCGCCCCCTGTTCCCTGGCCTCCATCGGGGCCGGGCAGGGGTTAGGGATGGAGCGCTGGGTATTCGAGCCTCCTTTCTTAGACACACTCTGAAATACCTGGCGCATTGCTCATTCAACAGCTGTTCCAGATTACCCAGAATGGAATAGTGTAAAGCCACCATTTTATTTTGCCCTTGATTTTGTGGGACAAGAATTCAGGAAGGGTTCAGCGAGGCTGTTCTTGCTGGTAGGGGTCTCTTGTTCGGCTACATTCAGATTGATGGGTCTGGATGTCCAAGCCGGCCCACTCGTGTGGGCCAGCAGCTGACGCTGTGGTCCGGGGAAGTCAGCTGGGCAGCGGATTGGAGCATCCGACGGCCTCTTCTGCATAATGGTGTCAGGGTGGTGGGCTGCTTACATGGTGGCTGCTGCCCGCAGAGCAAGTGTCCCGGGGGACAAGGGAGAAGCTGTATGGCCTTTTCTGACCAAGCCTCAAGGACTCACATGGCAACATTTCCATGGTACTCTACTGGGGGAAGTGGTCATGAGCTCCCAAGTTCAAGGGGAAGGGGCATGGACCCTACCTCTTGATGGGAGGAGTGTCAAGATGTGTGTGACCTTCTTTCTGAAGCACCACACTTACTGTGACTAGACACTGTGCTAGGCCTGGGGTGCCCTCATGCTGAGGGGCTTGCAAGGGGGTTGGTGTGGGGCAGAGCAGAGCTACAGTGAAGTAAGCCAACAATTGCATGGGGTATTCCTGTGTCCTCGGGGAGCTGGCTGCTCTTGGCTGACTGATCCCAGGGGAGGCATCTGTTCCTCAACTTAGTGGCCCTCTTGCTGGCAGTTTACTCTCCAGGGGACTCTCTGAGACTGGAAAGGGGGACCCAGCCCCAGGTGCCGCCCTGGTGGGGGAAGGCCTCTTCTGCCCCCGCCCCTGGGACAGGCTGTCCTCGTGACAAGCTCCCTACTGCTTCCTGTTCTGTTTCGCAGTGAGCCACAGAGAGGCAAAGACGAGAAGCAAAACGGCTGCTGCAAGGAGATGACTTATCAAGGGACAGGAGGCAGCTCAGCCTGTAGGCTGAGTCAGGTTAGAGGCGGTTTCCTCGCCTGTAAACCAGGGCCGTATCTTAGTACGCAGAGCGGCTATCACAAAATACCACTGTCTAGGTGACTAATCAACAGCAGAAATGTATTTCCTATAGTCCTGGAGACCAGAAGTCTGAGATCAGGGTGTCAGCCTGGTCAGGGGTGACCCCTATTTTGGGTCACAGACTTCTTAACTCTCCTGACATGGAACAGCCCAGGGAGCTCTAGGGGGTCTCTTTTACAAGGGCACTAATCCCATTCAGGAGGGCTCCACCCTCATGACCTGATCACCCCGCAAAGGCCCCATTAATGCCATCACATGGGGGCGTTAGGATTCCAACATGTGAATCTGGGGAGACACACACATGCCGACCACAGCCTTACCTTACGTGCTTGCATGAGGACTAAGCGAGATGAGCTGAGGATGATGCTTAATTTGTGATGGTTGCTCTCTGCATAGTCCTGCGAGACCGTCCTTGTTCTGGGGAAGTGCTGGCCCCAAGCACCTCCCGGCCTAACACCAAAACAGTCACAGAGCATCTAGATCCTTCTGCCCCTGCTTGTCAGCACCACCATGGGCCTACCATTACAGTTCTGGGTTTGGTAGTCATCATTTTGAGGACACAAATGCCTCAGGGATGTGTTTTGCCAGAGCAGGCTGACACCCGGATGAGCTTTGGGAAGGGCTCTCAGAACCCCTGATGGGGTAAGGGGGATGATACTGGGCACCAGCACAGGGTGAAGAGGAAGAGTTCAAATCCCAACTCGTGTGACCTCAGGTAGGACATTGGACCTCTCTGAGGTGTAACCTAGATGCACAAGAACAATGGACAGGGCTGGCTTAAAACCTTTCACTAAGAAAGTCATGGGCCTGAGGCATGACTACCCACGTTACCTGCCCAGTTAGGGATTTACGATCGCTCACCCTGAGGTTATTTTCCATAGAACCCTTTTTAGGGTCCACATATTCCTGTTGTTTTTAGCCTCCTACCAGTTGGTGGTCATTTTCTTACAGGAGCCCCAGGAACCTTCCCTCTCTCATTGGCTTTCCTCCTCCCCAACTAACTGTGAACCTCTTCAGGGCAGGGATGAGTCCTCAGTGCCTAGCATACAGGTGCTCATAAAGAATCAGAGAGTAGGACTTCACTGGAGCAGAAGCGTCCCCGCCTGGCTCTCCAAGCTGCACACAGAACCCACAGCCCTCTCTGGCCAGGATCAGACCTGTTCTGTGCTGAGCTGGGGAAAGAAGCCAGGGGCTTCCCAGGATCCTCCACCTGGGAGCTGCCTCCCACCTCTCTCTCTGTCCCCAGTCTCGCCCCTGAAGGGTAGGTGTGTATCGTGTCCACCTGCTTCGAGCACCTGCCCAGCTCCTCCATCTTCAGGGTCTAGAACCCATCACTTTGACTACTTCGCCATTTTAGCTGTCTCTGGAGACACCACTGGGAGGGTGGAGCATGCTCCACGGCTGGGGCTGGTGTGGGGCCTTGGCCACAGGCTGCGCCGGGGAGTCTGGGACTTCACAGGCCTTGGCTACAGAGACGTGCAAATCTCCTCAGAAGGGGACACCTTCCCGCTGTGTGAGCCTGGGGAGCAGCAGGCTCTGTCTGCTGTGCTGGAGACCTGGTTTGGGGGGCTGCCCCTGCATCTGGGGCGGGGGAGGGAGAAATGAGGCCCTCTAGGACAGAGGGCTACCCGCCTGCCACGGGTTATTTCTGGTAAATCTGAGAGAACTGGCCCAGAGCCCGATGTAGGCGCTCTCCTCATTGGCTCACCCCTGGCCATTGCTGTGTCTCCTGCCGCAGCCGAGCACATGCAAAGCTGTGGATGGCGCGCACAGGCAAGATAGACTGCGATCTTCTGATAAATCCTAACGCTCAGCGGTGCTGTGAAAGGCAGCTTGCAAAACGATGATGATTACAGAATGAGAACAATGAAGCTAAATTGTCAAACAAAACAATATGAATATATTGTTCCCAATATACCCAGGAGCAAAATTACATCAATGCCACGAGAATGAGGGGTAGGCCCTGGGGAGGGAGAGAGGAGGGAAAGGATGTCAGAGAGGGACTCCAGCCATGTCTGTTTCATTTATTTTTTAAAGAGCTGAAGGAAATATATACAATAAAGTGTAAGCATCTATGTAATGGGCAGGTGGGAATTTGTTAGACTAGTTTGTTTTCCTGTTGGTTTAGAAGTTTAGAAATGGTTTTGCAAAAGGCAAACAAAAGAATTCACGGAGCACCCAGCAACCACAGGGAGGAAGGCCAGGCGCTCACCTGGAGCTGATGACTTTATTTAAGTAGAACGGATGGAAGAGGCAGGCAGGAGCCAAGGGGAAAGCGATGCGTGCTTGTGGAGGTCCAACCGCATGGGTGCTTTTCAGTAGCACGAGCTTTGAGTTTGAAGATTCACTTTCCAACCAAAATGAGGCTGGTTGCTGCTGAGAACCAAACTGTTGGTCTGAAAGATCAAGAGGAAGAACATCCCCCGATCCTTCCAGCCCCCTCCTACAGGGTGCCTCCCTCAATAACACCCCGGGG